TCCAACGCGAACAATTTTTTTGACAGTCAAATGTTCATGCAATATTGAATGTATGCTGATCCCACTAACGCCTAAGGTTGTCTCAATCTCACGATAGGTCACATGACGATCTTGCAATATCAGGTCACGCACAGCATCAATGGTTTTCGGAACAACAACTGATTTTGGACGACTTTCGCGAAATTCGTCTTAGAGTGAACTTCGACCACGATGGAAATCACCATACCATCGATAAACACTGGTCCTTGATGGAGCTTCATCGCCAAAAATTGAATGAAGTTCATCCATGAACTGTTGCTGAGTTTTTCCACGTCGAAAGTTGTAAAAAATAATCGCACGAAAATGTTCATGATTTAATTCCATTTTGGGCCAAGATGAATCTTTTAAGTTACTGTAAACAACACAAATTGCGCTCGTATGTCAAAACGTTCTGTGTACGTATAACCTCAAAACATCAAACTTTGCGATAGAGCTGTCAGTTGCCAGATTACAACACCAGGGTTGCCAAATACCGAAACATAAAAGGCAACCTTCGTAGATTATATTACTGTAAAACCCAATATTGCAATTGTTACAAATAGGATTTTTATGTTTTAAACTTTACATTCAATTATTTATGGCAAAATATTTCATAAGAATAGGTTTTTATGTAATTATATTATCTAAAATTATAGTATGTCAACATTATGAATTTAAAGAAGAAAATACTGTACAATTCTGTAATAATGGGCACCTGATGTTAAGTCAGTTTGACTTATCAAGACCCACAACAAATTTGTTGGAAAATAAACTTTTCTAATATATTCTATTCTATTATTAATATGATTGTTAATAATAATAATAATAATAATATTACGAGTATTATTATTACGAAGCTCGGATAAAACCAGCAGTCAGACTATACTGTCGTCTTAGATTGGAGTAAGGTTGCACAATGTTATGTCTAAATGGGTACGATTATTACTTGTCAGGTGCAATTCCCAAACTCAAGGTGGAAGTAAGAAGGGTTGACAAATTTGATTGCGGTTTCATTGCAAATGAATTGTTTTTATCTTTTATTGTTATTGTTTAATGTTGTAGTTGTGCATATATTAATGATTTTGATAATCTTGATGATGACAATGACTAAGCTAGTATATTATTTTCTGTCTACAGGCCAAAGATCTTGTGAAAACATTGGTGATTGGCCGTGCCAAGGGTGAGCCGAAAGACTGGCATATCTTCATTCCACACACAGCTTTGAAACAGCAACATTATGTGCGAGACGACACAATTTTTCTAGATATTACGGTCACTACTCCCGATCCTGAACCCCCGGCAGGCACTACTGAAGCAGTTTCAGCGGTTTGAAGTCACGATTTTGCAGAATATTTCTGATTAGTTGTTCTTGTAGGCTTCAATAAATAAATGCAAACAAGTTATTAAAAATATAAAACCCGACTATGTATAAACCAAGTAAAAAATAAAATGTTAACACATTTGTACTGTCTTAGAAAGTCATACGAAGTACTGATCAACTGCCATAATTGGAAGCCCAGTAAATTTTAGCTAATGAAGTTAAAGGCGAGTAAATGAAGAAAATAGCCAATATAAGTATCTAAGAAAATTTCATTTTTTGTACATTACTCAAAGCTTCGCCTCATAATTTTCCTTAAAAAGTTATATGTATAGCATTTAAAGTTTTTTTTCTCAAATCTCAAGAGACTTTTGAAATTCCTCGGATGATAGGACCTCTCTCTATTCGAGGGTTACTTTTTAAATAAGGGCCATTTTTTAATCAAAATAAAAATACTGCAAATATCTTCAAAATATTTATTATTCCATATTTTACATTCTTTCATCTACTTTTATAATAAATTTTCGTTTTGTTCAAACATTTGACATACTTTCAACAAGTTTTTGAATTCCGCTGTCGAAGAAATCTGCTGCATGTGAAGAAGCCCAATCCAGACTGCAGGATTGATTTCGTCGTCGCCATCGTTGAATCGTTGACCGCCAAGGGGCCCCTTAAGTACTGTAACAAGTGAAAATCACACAGTGCAAGGTCTGAACTGTAAGGAGGATGATCCAGTTGTTCCCATCCAAAAGAACGTCATTCATTGAATTTTTGCATCATTGTGAACTTTACTATCATGAATTGCATTGTCAGCATAAAATTCATAAATCTGACGGTGAATTTCCGCTCATGCCACGTTTCGTGCATTCAAGAATCGAATTACAGGTCATATCTCCTTCCAAGTTCCTTAAAAATTATAAACGTCTATAGTTCAGCTACAGATATATAGATTTTGTGTGGACCGGGAGTGCGAAACCCGGGTGGAAAAGCTGCAATAAAAACGAGATTGTTTCCTAAATTAAAATTATTTTCTTAATAGGAAACGATAACACCCATTCCAGATTTCTCCCGGGAGGCTATTGAGTCCTGGTTATCAATAAAGTATTTTTAGCACTGAGTGGATATGGACCAACATGCACGGTAAAAAAGGATTGGGGTAAAAAAGAATTGACTTCATTCTGGGCTTTCTTAATAAATATTCAGAATTTATAATATTCACACCAGAAACGAGGAGATAAATGCTGATTGATATCTTCGTATCATGTATAGTTGGAGCACTTTACTGTCTTAAATAATTCCTGTTTTTAAAACAATTCTGAAAAATTACTTTGTCCCCAATAAATCTAATAACACTTGAGACACAATTGTGCAATTTTATACAAGTATACAAAATTCAATAAATATTTCAAGAAATAACTGTGCGCTGAATTTGTTGTGAATGTGTATTAAATATTAATTTCAATATTCGGGTACTAATGTGTACAAACTTGTAATTTTATGACTTAAAATCAAAACAAAATTGAAAAATGTAATAGTTTCATACTTTGTAATTCCAACTTATAAAATAAAAAATATATGTTTTAACTCTTAATAATGAAACAATATAACTTTCTTTTAAAATTAAATTATATTAAAAATGGTTTCAAAATTAAGGTAGGTACCATTCATTTATATTCTATCTACATATTTTTAGTTTTATATCAGTGGACTATTAAGCTCTAAAATCTATAATTTAGGGCCTTAAAGACGCTCTTAAAAGGCTAAAATAGCTCGCATTCTATCTTGACAAATCATGTTTCCACATATTTTATAACTCTTTTGAATAGAAACTTGAACATAAACTATTAAAGGGAATACATATACAAGTATAAATGCTAAAACATCAAAAACAATGCTATATTCATTGCATATTTATTCAATATCTGCATGGTTTTACAATGCTATATTCAGAGAAATTTATGTTTTCTTCAATACTTGTAATTAGTTTATTTTTAATGTTTGTTTACAACAAAAAGATGATGCAAAAAATTCAGCCAGGTAAGCCAGGATTTCCATGTACTTAACAAAGATTTAAGTTTGTCTGACTTTTACAGGAACACTTCTGAGTTTATTTTCAATTTCGGTTACACGGTAATATATGCACAAGAAAATATAAACAGCTTGGTCCTTCGCGTTAAAGAGGAATTAAGTACTAACTCTAATTCCTTGGTATTGTAAATACGTGAAATATGTAAGTTTTTTGTTTCTACACCAGAGTCAAATTTGCATTTACCTCAAAATACGAAGTGGTTAAATTCGTCATCATGACCAAAATATCGACTAAAAGTACTTTTATCAGCCAAATCTACTTTTAAGTTGATGGTATATAAAGCTATGCAACTTGGCCTTCAGATCTGTAGGAACATTTTGGTAAAAAATATTCATTTTTCAGCTAATACAAACCCTTAAGCAAGATTTATTTGTAACCCAAAACTTTTGTATGAGTGTATATTTAAATATGTTTTTTGTTAATAAAGTGTATTAATATTTACTGAGATGTTCAAAAATAAATGGTTAACTGCAAATTGTGATCCGATTGGTTCACGCGCGCTAACGATTCTGAGAATGAGTCATTCGCGTCGCAGGTACAGTCTGCGCGGCCGACTCGCTTTCCCCGGAATGTGACGCTACGCGACGCACTCTCCAGTTGAGGACGAGGTTCACGTGAACATAAAACATCCTTGAGTCTGTCCAACGCATAATTACAAACGCATTTATGCGAATACTTACATTAAAAATCATTTGGCATGTATGTTATCATTTGGCATGTACAATACAGCTTTATTTATTATTTTTTTTCAAAGTAATTTCCGCCACATTCAATGCACCTTTCCATCCTCCGAAACCAATCCCTAAACCAGTTCTGTCAAGTTTCACTAGGGAGTAAGGCACACTCACCCCAAGATCTCAGAAGGTCCTCATCACTGAAAAACGCATTCCTTTCAGCTTCGTTTTCAAATGCGGGAACAGTACAAAGTCACAAGTAGCGAGGTTTGGACTGTAAGGAGGGTGCCCAAGAAGTTTCAGTCCTGAAGTGTCAAATATTCCGTGCTGGCTTTGGCGCGGCGAGCTGGAGCATTGTCATGATGGAGGAACCAAGTGTCCCTTATTGAATTTGGCCACAGGTTACTTAACGATTGAATGACTTTTGGCAGGCACTGTTCAGCATACCACTTAGCTGTGACTGTCTTCTGTGTCTCCAAAACAACACGCTCCACAATTTCACTCGATTTGAAAAATACAGCTACCATTTTCTTCTTTACATTTACTTTCTTTACAGCTAACATTTTCTTCTTTACTTCTTGGTAGGCACATCATAATAGTACAGACAAGTCTCGTCACCTGTCACGATGCTGTTTACATACCGA